GGACATTTTTATAGGCAGACTGTAGGTTTCATGGAAGAAATACTTTTTGAGGAAAAAAGTAAAAAAAGGAAAGATCACTTCTGATACTAGGGACAGGAATAAGAATAAGAGAGAGCATGGGAAAAGTTATGAAGAGTAAGAAATGGAAAAGGTTTTCAAAGCAGCAAGGTCAAGACAGGCAGGTCAAGAAGCAGAGTGAGGGAAAGGAGAAATAGTAAAAGATGACAGCATCGACATAGACAGGAACAGAGCTGAGCAGCGGACAAAGAAGTTGAATTGCTTTTGGAATGCAGGAGGGAGACACCAGAGGAACAGAGAGATCATAATTCAAGGGCAGCAGAAGATCTGTGCAACACTTATGAGCCCAAAATAAAGCAAGCAGACTTTAAATGTTTCATAAGCTCGAGGCTGGCCCTCTGCAGAAGGGTGAATTTCACCCAAGATAAGTAAATGGACAGTATGTTAGCCACAGAAATCACAGTGACACATTCAAAAGGCTGAAAAACTTGGGTGAGTTTGGCACTGGAACTATAAGTTACCAAGGACTAGAGGAAACTGAAAACCACCTGGTATTTTTTGAACAGTGTCAGTGAAAATGGCCATGAGTGCTATTACATACAGCTATGTATTTATTTATTTATTTGCCCTCTCTAGAACAGGGGTAGGCAACTTTTTCCAGCTGCAGGCTGGAATGACCCATGCCAGGTCAGAGGCAGGTGAGCATGTGGGTGCTGGGATCCTGCCACCATTGCCACCCCTGCCCCCAGCTTTTGGGGAAACACCTGCAGCCAGCACTTGTCCCCGACGAAGCATGGGGAGAGCGCCTGTAGCTTGCGTCCCCTGGCCACCGAATGCCACAGAAGCTGCGCAGATCCATGAGCCATAGGTTGCCAATCCCTGCTCTAGAACATCTTTGATAAGAGTCCACAACATTTCCATGATAAAAATACAAATCTTTAGGGCAGAGTCTTGGGCTTGCTAAAGTCACCAGTACAGCAGAGGGACCGTGAAACTTTCCAGTCTGAAAATCTAGAGCTGGTAGAAAGCCAGAATCGGGAGTACCATACCAGCACTCCCTCAAACCCTTCACTGTCAGTAGCAGGAGGAGGCAGTGTCAAGGGTAGCACGCTGCTGGAAATGTGCTCCAGCAGTCCTCACAAACCAAACACCCCGCAGAGGACCATGCATAAGACACTGCACACTGGGAGCCCAGTTTCAGTTGATTTCAGTTACAGAGCAAATTGTTAGTCTACATCAGTGGTGCTCAACCTTTTTGTCCTGTGGGCCAGATGGGCAGTGCCTGGTCCCTCCACAAACCAAATCCAGCTGGCGGTCCCAGTGCGGGGCAGGGCAGATGCAGCATGGACACATCGTGCCACGCAGAGGGGAGCAAGGGGCAGCCTGGCACCAATCCAACCATGTGGAGGATGGGGACGGGGTGTGGGCCAGCCCATACCAACTGTGCAGGAGGAGGGGGCATGGCCCAGCCCCAGTCCAGCTTTTCAGGGAGAGAGGGCATGGCCTGGCTCCGACCCACCATGCAGGGCTTGGGATTTTGGCAGTGGGGAGGGGTGGCAGTATTAACTGTGGGCCAGATTCCAAGGTGTCACAGTCTATATTTTGGCTCGCGGGCCAGAGATTGAGCACCTCAAATCTATATCATCATCCCAGCCTTAGAAGGACAATCGTGTCCCCGGGGTGTTGTTAAAGAACTATCCACATTGAGAGCAAGCTGTAACATTTACAGAGCTAGGTAGTGACAGGTTTTTCTTTTACATTTTTTAAAGCAGTACTTTTCTGGACCCAAAGTTTCTGAACTACTTACCAGAGTTTCCCAAAATCCCCATTATCTGGCCACTCTCTATGTGAAAGGAGACATCTTTGAGGATCTGTCGCGACCATTTCTTACGGTACGATGGGATATCCCACCAAGGCCCAATGCGCTCTCTTTAAAAGAAGAGGTTAAAAAGGATGAGGTGCGGCATTTGGGGAAACTGAAAATTACATCTAAAGAGGTGGTAGCATTGGGGTGACGTTGTGGCCATGAGGGAAATAAACATGCTTTTGAATCTCTTAGACTTGAGGAAGAGTACTTAGTATCAGAAAACGTGTTTATATCCCTTCCAGCTATACAGTTTGTCCAATAAAAAACATCGCCCACGCAAATCCTTGCCTCTTGCATCTGAAGGAGACGGGGCTTTAAAAAAATGGCCTGGTCCCTTCTTAGGCTTCTTTATAAGGTGTGATGAAGCATAATGAGGATCTGAAAGGATTTTAATGTTAAAAAGTATTTTCTTTTCCACTCACTTTTTACCTTAGTCACTTAAGGAAGGTAAAGCTGGTCCAACCTAGTTTTACAAGAGAACCACTGAGGCAACACCGATCTTTATTGTGAATTCTTGCCATCATAATTGAAAGGGGGATCTTTAAGGTTGTGTTTATTAAATGTTAACAAACCATTTAAATTAAATAAAAGCTATTCAATTAAAAACAAAGAAATATAAAGTGTTTAACAGTCTGACTAAAAACCTCTTTCCCTCTCAGTAGCTCATCTTCTCTTGAAGCTATCACCAATTTGCTACCTCTGTCGTCACTGCATGTCTTCCAGCCTAGGTAAGACCTGAATTTGAAACACATGCAAAAAAACCCAAGCAAAATGAAAGAAATGACAACCCTTTCAAGTTTTCATTATCCACCACAAAGCAGAAGAAAATGTGCAATTTTTTTTGGAATTCTCCTGTGAAAAATAAGCTGTTAATTCTTCAGAAATTAAAACCACTCTTTATCCTCACAGAAATATATTCTAAGTATAAAACAGGTAGAGCTAATTCATCCTTGGCATCTTCACCTGATTCAAACTGGCTTCAAATTCTTTCCCTGTTACTACTATTTTATAAATTAAAGGAAGTCTTCCGTTATTCCCGTGGCCCCAGGGGTTAGTGCTGTTTCAAAGTCTCAGCTCACACAACGGGTCTTCAATACCTTACCTGACAGTATAGGAGACCCCTTGGAGGCTGACACTATTGTTACATGATGGCACGGTAGATTTCCTTTCTTCTGCTTGAGAACTGCAGATGCCTCTGTCCATCTCAGTAGACTTTGAAATGTATGGTTCTCCTTATTCATAAGCAGCTTTCTTACTCATAATCACCCTCACGAACAGCTGGAAAACCAGTTAATCTGGGTCAATACTGTTGAGTCAACCTAGGAACATAAAAGGAACAACTGCCTGTTACTGGTCCTAGAATGAATTTGGACCCTACCTTCTGCTCCCCGTGGCTGCCAGCTAGGATAGAAAAACTTTTAGCTGTCAGTTTGCTCTTTCTTTCTCTTTCTGTAGAGCAGTAGACAGATGATTAGCTGTAACTATTATCTGATGAACCTTTAGCCTGAGTTTTATTGTCCCAGAAAAGGAGAACATTTCCGCATCTACAAAGACATGTCGATGAGACAGAGCCAGTGTGCCAGAAGAGAGAGTGGATATATTACTATGTTGAAGGATTTGGGTTAACTGGAAAACCAAGAGAAGAAGGATTTGTGTAGCAAGCATAGTATTTAAAACCAAAA